GACCTGAAATCAATACAAACAACGATGTAAAATCCATAGGGGTCAGTTTAAGAACGTGCTGGGGATGCTGCAAAGAAGAGGAGTGATTTGGAAAGCAGATTTGTGTTGGTTTATTATCACAAGATGAATGTACGATAATGCTGAATTGGTGCATCTTTAGGCTCCTTTAGTTATTAAACTGTGTGTATGAAGTGCTCTGATTCTAGTTTTATTTTGTCCTGAGCTTGTGTTTAATGTCAATCCAAGCTTTGGCTTTTTTTCCAGCTGTGTGATTTTAATGAGTGCATCTGGAGGTGACATTTACATCATGCTGTGTGGAGCCGAGCCCGTCGAGATGACAAGCACAACCAGCATCTACAAAGCTGCTTCACAACCTTTTTTATTTTTGTGTGTCAGTGTGTGTGAGTTTACTGTTGCATAAAAGAAATATAATTTATATAATATAAATTAAATCAATTAGAAAGTCACTGCTTCAACTGTCCAGCATGTGATGAGCGTCAGTGAAACTAAGTGATGTTCTTGTCTCAGAGTGTGAACAGTTTCAGAGTGTTTGAACATCAGAGTCACACATTTGGGTTGCTCATTAACACATGTGCACGTGTTACAGGCTGTTAGAGGGTTACACCATGCTGTTTAATACATTTCATTCAAAAATGTACCTGAGTTTAATCTCTGTATTTAATCTGTAGTTTATGTCCAATCATTTAAATAAATAAACAAATAAATAAATGCTGTGCTCACGTCATGGTGACATCTAAAGTTCATCCCTATGAAATTATATTTCAAATGATCTTATCTCAGGAAGAAAGAAAAAAACACATTTATAGTATGATTAGACAGACCCAATGTTTTTGATTCATTAGATTTCAGGTTTCAGATCATCTCGTTTCCTTCTTGTCCAAATGTACAAAATGAAAAACAGAGGCTTAAAATCTCTGTGTGGTGCATTCATACTTGTTAAAAATCTATCAGCTGGCTATTGAATCTGGCATTTTGCAGTTTGACCAGTCATTTGAAACTAAAAAAAAAAAACCTCACCTCACCTCACTAACATGTCCATGTTGGTCCAACTCTCTCTGACTGTCAGTTATTAACCAGCACATACAAGCAGATCTCACTTTACAAATGCAACACCCCCACCATGGGACCACGGCTAAACTGTTGACCTTGTCACTGTAAAGACTGTAGCTTAAACATGAGTCTAACTTGGCCAATCCTCGTTCTGCTGATCTCTAATGCTGTAATAGGTCATTATGAAAGGTGAAAGGTACCTAGCATACCGTTGTTGGTAAAATCCCAGTTCTAAAAAGTGAGTTGTGAAACTATCAAATTTCTATTTAATTTAGTGATGTTTTAACCACAAAAGATGCTGGACCAAACTGTAGCTAGGGATCTTGTTGGACGACATTTACATCTTCCTTCCATGAATACATGGGATTTCTCGTGGTTCTGTACTTCAGTTTCCCCCCACAGACCAAAAACATGCATGTTAGGCTGATTGGTAACTCAAATGTGCATCAGAATTGCGCTGCTTGGGGTGACTGCGTGTTGGAGTAGCTCTCTTACATTCATTATGAGATTTTGCTTTTGGAAACCTTATTTCCTCTTTTTCTGGAAGTAAATCACCTTTTTTGTATGAATGCTTCAACTGGTATTGGATGCTGTGCAGCTGGAAGGATTTTTATTAAAACTTTTTTTCTTACTTTTGGACATTTGTAATGATGCATAACCATAATAACAAGATGTTTTTTAACAACCGGGAGCAGCTGATTAACATCTCAAAAGCTCAAATAATATCTCAACTACTGCCCCAAATCTCAAATGAGTTGAAAAGGAGGCACCATGGATGCATTCACATCTACCTGTGCTCGAGTGCCTGACCACTGAGATCCTGTAAATGGCAGGAAATGTCTGTGTACGGATCAGACGGCATCTGCAGCCAGTTTCTTTGAATCTGCTGTGGGACGGACCTTTATTAGAGATCCTTCCTGCCTACAGTCATCAGTAGCTATACCATCTCTTAATGAAATGAGGATAACAAGTTACAACAACATTTGATTTCACTTTGGGATTAATAAATTGTTTTTGAATTGAATTTAATTGAATTGAATTTGTCCCTAGATGTGAGTGAGGGAGTGAATGGTTGTTTGTCTTGTTTGCCCATGTGTCCATGTGATGGACTGGAGACATGTCCAACATGTCCCCTCCTCTTGCACAGTGACTGCTGGACATGGGCACCTCTGCAACCAGGAAATAAAACAAGTGGGTGAAGAATGGTAAATGGTAAATGGAATGTACTTATAGCACCTTTCTATCTAATCAAGATACTCAAAGCACTTTATACTACAATCTGTGCCTCATTTACCCATTCAAACAGCACTGAACTAGATCTCTACAAAGCTAATTGAACAAATCATTCTAAAGAGACTAATCAGAACTTTATCACATTCATACACTGATGGGACACACATCTGAGGCGATGAGGGGTTCAGTGTCTTGCCCATGGACACTTCGGCATGTGACTGCTGGTGGATTCGAACCCCCAACTCTTGCATTGGAGGACTACTGCTCTAACCACTCAGCCACAGCTGCCCCACAGAAAATGGATGGATGGATAGATGGAAGCTGAAGTACGCTTGCAGCTTCTTGGACTTCTTTGTAAGCCAGACTGACAGGCAGAAACTGCATATGAATATAAATTAAACCTATCGCCATCTTTTTTTAGAGATTTTAATCAAAGATTTGAGCTGCAGATCAGCTCTGGTAGATTTAAGGAATTACAGCATTATCATATCAGATTGGTGAATTATACATAGAGTCATATAAGAAGTTCCTAATTAGTGTTGTTTGAAGACTGACTGCAGACAAAGAGGAGTATTAGTTTCCCCTCAGACAGACAACACATTCAGAGCAACTCATTATTGTGATTGTGGGTCATGAGCTTAACTTGTTTTCCTTTGTTGGTTTAATTCCTTTCTGTCAATACATCTGATAGTGATCTTGGTCGAAATTCCTCTCTGATGATAATCCCAGGCTGTCGAAACAACTCATTACCTCCAAATCAAACGTGTTTTGTTTGATTGATTTTTTTTTCACAAAACACCTAGCTTATCTGATTTCTCTTTCTAAAAGTTATATTTGCAGTAGTAACAACAGTGATAGCTTTATCCTAAAAACCGACTTTATATAGTTTCATAATTTATCTAAAATTTGACATTACGTAACGTTGTCTGTCTCCCTCCTGAGCCTTTAAATCCTCAGCAGCTTCATTGGAAAAGCCTCTTACATTTCAGCCTTATTCATTAGAAATGCATTGAAATGGTGTTTCAGAGAAGCAATAGGTAGACGAAATGCCGACCTAGACCTTTATTCACACCATGAAAGCTAGAGTAGTGTGATCTTCCTTGTCTCAACAGAGCCCATTACACGAGTAAACATCTCTGTTTTCTCTGTTTGTGTCCACTCTGATCAGTGCAATTGTAACGAGACTCGGGAGATGACTAGCTAAGAGTCAGACATG